CCATCGACGCAGCCGAATCTTTTTGTGAAGTTCCAAGAGAGCGATTTAAAGAAGGATGCTGGACAAAGTACTATTCCATTTTGGGATATCCAAGACGTGGTCACAATGCCCACTGCTCCACTTACGGGTGTTGGTATTTTCCACAAAGGGCACAGGGATCGCATCTACGGAGGGTACCTTGCGTTGCGTATACTTTCTCTGAATTTTATTGATTACCTCAATGCCACGGTGCCGGACGATTTGAAGAAGTCATACCAGGAAGTTTATAAAGCACCTCCATATGCACCGACAGGCAAAATTTAGAGCTCAGATAATACTTCAACATGGTGTTACAACTTTTTGTCTGAAACTTCTGTATGCAACGATCATGGGCTATAATCAATAAAAACTGATAACCAATACCTTCTTCATGATGCAGTCTTCAATTAATTACCGAATCCCATTCAATGTTATTCGCGCTCCATATTATTCATATATTTTTCCGTTCTGATACATTCTATCACAGCCGATGCTGGTACAACGTGAAAAATATTAGCTTATCAATTGTTCTGATGCTACGAGCACTTTCGAACATGATAAAAAATATTGGAGTGATATTCAACATAGCTCAAATTGATACATGCACGGAATACATACTTTAATCACGTATAATTCATATTATGAATATATGTGTATAATATACTCCAGTAAGTTCTCTCAACGTTTCATAAAGGACTGGAACATTCCGCAGACTTCGAAGTTGGAACCAGTTGCAAGTTGGCTCCACTAGATTTCGGTCCCTAATGTCCTGAGGAATTTTTACTCCTCACTACGTCCCTAATATTGTTGTGAACCTATCCAGCATTTTTTGGGGGAAAAAATTAATAACTATTTTAAATGGAATATATCGGGATCAAACATAAAATAGACTATATTCAAGTATTTTTTCCATCCATAATGTTAATTGAGTAATTTCCGTTTACTGAACACTCATAACAATATATATATGAAACATACATATTGTTAAATGACAATATGTTTTAAAGAAATTAATAAAATATTTAAATGTTTTTATGATTCGAGATAAAAGACAGACTCTCAGAAGAAAAGATGATCGTATATGAATTTGGTTGAGAGGAAAACGCAATATTTATTACTTTAGAGGCACGATTCCAATAAACAAAGCATACAAATTGAAATATTCGTCGCCCAATATCGAAACATCGGAATTTGCGCATAAAACTCTATAAATAGCAATATTTAGTTTCAGGCGGAAAGGTTTTGCAGTCATATAGTGATGATAGTCCGTCTATTTTTATGATCTCTGTCAACCATAAATAATTGGCCGGATTGATAACATAAGGAAAAATGAAGGTAGAAACCAAGGGTGTGAATTTCTGATATTGTGTCATGGTCTTCTTATCGCACTCAGACTTTATTTAAAAACGAATTACGCAGTGTGAAATATTGTTCAATGGACATTGGGCGTTGGAAGTTAAAATCGTGCGGGATGGTATTATTACAATTACTCATAATAATCGTGTTAGTCGAGCATCTAGTATTATTTATAAGGCCGGGTCTGACTCATGTGGGGACTCCGCGAAATTCCGCTATCAAAGTAGTCATTGACGGATGATACACACCGATTACCAGCAAAATATTATAGCAGGTGACTGAAATATCGATCAAATTTTATCCTACATCGTATCATACATTAGATAGTCTCGTCGCCAGTATTACTTTTATTGAAAAATTTAATATAACGCAACCAGTTGATAGAATCCAGCTCTATGAACAAAAAGTCTCTAGACAAAAATCATTGTCAACTGTGATCATTTCCGTGATAAAAAGTCTCAAGTAGTAACAAAATGGTGATAATTTACAAAAAAATCGTTACTCCACTTATTTATGACGAGTAACATTTAATTAATTGATATGTAAGATAAAGCTTCTTACGCCACTATTTTTCATGAGAATAATGCATAAAAATACATTTTTTCACCTCCTAATATATAGATAAGTAGATATAGTTAGTTACAGGTGGTACAATATCTTACAGTCAAATAACGACAATGACATTTCAATTTTTATGTACTCTGTCCCACGCAAACAGTTAATAGAATTGATGATGACCGATAACATACGTGTGAAAAATAAGATGTAAATTTTTGATTTTATGTCTTGGTCCCCTTATCGCGTCTAGGGTCTATATAAACCCCATTACCAAATGCAGGATAGTGTCCAATCATCGTTTAAGCTTGCAAATAAGAATTGAACGAAATGTTACTATTTCGGTTGATTATATTGGTGCCACTGGTCCAAGTGGCACCATTTATGATGCCGAGTCTAAGTGATTTGTGGAAGCTCGCAAAATTTGGCTACCAAGTAGGAAGTAAGATTAAGGCAGGTTATGATGCATACTCAAAATTTATGGACGACACTGACGAGAGGATAGATAAAATATTAGAGCAGGTGGCTGAAATATCGACTAAGATCGACGGGTTCGAATCCCGTTTGGATCAGAGATTGGATGCCATAGTGGAAAGTCTCGTCTCCAGAATTACACTTATTCAAAAACTTGATACGACTTTCATGGAGCTGCACAAGATCATCGTAGGCGTTGATCACATGTGGGACAAGTACCTCAAGTATTCGAAAAATCGTAAGAGTTTCAACAATATAACATTAAAAGGCTTCATAGACACAGCGACTGGAGATCAGGCGCTCGGTTTACAGGCTTTGCTTAGCCAAATGCATCGGTTGATTGTTCCGCTAAGGACCGCCCATATTCGAGATAGTTTGTTCCTTACAATGTTGAAGAACGAACGGGCAAGTTGAATCTTTATTCACCTTCTTCTCGCTTGATAGAGCAATAAATTGATTGTTGAGAAATATTCACAGGAGAATGAGATGTTGTCCTGTGATGAAGGCAATTCACATGAACA